AAAGGTAAACTAGGTGGCAGGAAGTCTGATTTTAGGATTGATCATCCAAACTATTCTAGAATCCCTTAAATTCTCTCTCACCAGGGCGGTATCCTGAGGCCAGCATCTAAGTCTAAAAAGAATATACCTACAGTTGGAGCTGTGAAGATTTAAGTGGCAATAAGACTTTAAGTGAGTTGAGCCTCAGTTCTTAGTTGTAAGCACTGCTACTCAAAGCCTGGTCTGGCAAGCAGCAGACTGGGCATCATCTGGAAGATTGTTGGAAATGCAGAATTTCAGACAGCACCCCAGACCTCCTCAAACACACTGTGCATTTTAATAAGGTCCTCGGGTGATTCCCATGCACATTAGAGTTTGAGACACACTGCCATGAGGAGTCATCTATTGTCTGAAGTGGTAGAAATCCTACCATGATGGTACTTAAATTCTATACACTGTGAGATTTTGCTCCTCCAGGGAGTTTAGAGACAATTGGCATATGGAGAAGATTGCCTAGAAAGGTCTAAGGCCTAAAAATCACTAATTCACAAACACAAGTTGAAGATATATAAAAAAAGAAACTTCTCTATTTAGGTAAATTCATAGAAAGAGAAGGGAAATTAAACTTCCCTCTGAATCCAATGTTTTATACATGTATTATGCTGTTTATCCATTTAGGCAATGAAGTTTTCATTAGCAAGGAAAACACTTTTCAGAAAAAAAGGTCTAATTCTTTTTGAACAGCTATTTCTCAAGGCAAAAATATTTCCAGTGCCATTAACATACACACACACACACACACACACACACACACACACACATTGGTACATGTGCATGTACTTAAGTCTCTTAGGTTGAGTATTTTGCATTTGTCAAGAGTATATAAGGTACGAGCTTGCTTTATGTTTTTTCATGGAAACGCTGCTTCCTCAAACTTCATCAAATGGGAATTTTGAGTACTGTTCATTTATCCTTAAGTGCTTCCAACTCAGAAAGCAAGTGGGAGTGGGACAATAGTTCATTGCCAATGGTGGGCTCTTTTGCATTGATATTAAATCCATTTAATGTACAATATTTCTGGATGCGCCCAATAAGTGTCTGATTTATCCAATCATGTTTTATTCCAACTAGAAGTATCTTACTCTTCATAGACTGATGATTGTTCTCAAGATAAAACTTCTGAAAGGATGAAGAAGAGCTAATATGACTTGGAAATATGAGCATCTACTTTAAATGGTTGAATTCAAGTCAATTATTTTAGGATCTATTTTATTATTTGCATTTGAAAAGATGTTTCAGTATAGCGTGTAAAGTATAAGTAATAGTTGAAACATTACCATCAATTGTATAGCAAAACGTACTACTAGTAAATACAGCTAGGTAGTTTGGAATTTTAGGGTCCAGTTGCTTATTTTCTTAGAATTTGTTAGAAATTATTCACTTCCTGATTATCAGTCATCATCTGGACCTCTTCTAAGAAGGCAAAATCTAGGATATTTATAGTGCATTTAAGAGCAGAGTTATCAAATTGTGAGATGCTTAATTTTTCAAAAAAGGAGGATTTTTTTCAAATAATAACTTCCATTAAAAAATTAAAACTTTATAAAATAAAGGGAAAATGGATTAATAGATGGACAACATGCAGCAGATACCTAGCTACAAATGTGATCTCTGGACATGCATGTGTCTATGATTTCTTCAGTAACCTACAGGGAAACAAGCAGTTAAATGTATGAATAACTGAAATGACAGCAATGAACAGTACAGACATTTTTTTTTCTTTTTGTGTACAAGAGATTGAACTCAGGTGCACTGAGCCATGTCCGAAGCCTTTTATTTTATTTTATTTTATTTTATTTTATTTTATTCTATTTTGAGACCAGGTCTCACTAAGTTGCTCAGAGCTCAACCAAACTGCTGAGGCTGGTTTTGAACTTGGGATCCTCTTGCCTCAGCCTCCTGTGCTGCTGTGATAACAGGCATGCACCACTATGCCCAGCTCATATAGAGAGATTTTTTTCAATTTGTTTTGATTAGTTACACATGATAGTAGAATACATTTATGCACTTTGACATATCATACACAGATGGGATATAATTTTTCCTTGTTCTGAGTGTCCATGTTGCACAATCATATTGGTCATGTAGTCACATATATAAATAAAGTAATAATGTCTGTTTCATTCTACTATCTTTCCTATCCCCACATCCCCTCTCCCCTCCCATCACTTTCCTCTGTCTAACCTAAGGTAATGCTATTCTTCTCTACTGCTCCTTGCCTTATTGTGAATTAGCATTCATATATTAGAGAAAACATTCGGCCTTTGGTTTTTTGGGATTGGCTTATTTTGCTTAGCATGATATTTTCCAACCCCATCCATTTACTGGCAAATGCCATAATTTCACTCTTCTTTAAAGTTGAGTAATATTCCACTGAGTATACATACCACATTTTCTTTATCCATTCATCTATTAAGGGACACCTAGATTGGTTTCATAGTTTAGCTATTGTGAATTGAGCTGCTATAAACATTGACGTAGCTGCATTTCTGTAATATGTTTAATTTAAGTCCTTTGGGTATAAACTGAAGAGTGGGATAGCTAGGTTACCTTCCTGTTCAAAATACTAGAAAAACTAGGGATAGTTGGAATATACCTTAACATTATAAAAGCTATATACACTAAACCCAAAGCCAACATCATTCTAAATGCAGAAAAATTGAAAGCATTCCCTCTAAAGACTGGAACAAGACAAGGATGTCCTCTTTCACTACTTTTATTCAACATGATCCTGAAAACTCTAGCCAGAGCAATTAGATAAAAGAAAGAAATTTAAAGGATACAAATAGGTAAAGAAGAACTCAAACTATCACTATTTGCTGATGACATGATTCTATATCTGGAAGATT